CATCATGGGTGCATGGGTGACCAGCTTTGCCTTTGCTACCTGGAGCCAGGGGTCTCCTGCCCAGCCAGCAGTAACCCAGTTCTGACCGCCGGCCCTGCGCACTTGCCCCACGTGGGGTGCTTCCCGGGGGCCTCGCTTGCTGGTTCTTTCTGCACACGCTCAGAGCTCAGTCCACAGGACCCACACCTGCTCTCACCTTCTACCAGCAGGGGTCTGAGTTCACCGCCTGGGCCCCTCACGTAGGGGTCCCACTCTATGGTGTCCCGGATCCACCTCCCGCCCTTACTTTAATAACCAAATCAGCCCCATCCTGAGAAATCTGTGGAGTCCGGCTTCCCTTCCCGCCCTGGCCCCGAGCCTGCTCCACAGCACAGACCACCCCTCCATCATCCGTGACACAGCTGCTCTCGGGGCGGTACCGCCGCATCAGACAGCAGCCTCGGGCCTCGGTCTCAGCTATGTTTACTAGGAAATGTAAGGATTCATCTGTGTACTGCAACCCCTCCTGGGGACCCCCAGTCCCTGACTGGCTTCCCTGCATGCGTCTGCCTGTCCTGGGACCCTCTCCTCTTCCCAAACCTCCAGACCCCACAGTGGTCACTCTGTTTTGCAATGCAAATTAACCCCCTTTCTAGTAGTCACGCTTGCCATATAAACTGAAGAGACAAACCTGTCATCGCAGAGAATTCCTTAAAGCCTTGAAATGAGGATTTTTCTCCATCCCAGGCCAGATCAGCTTCTTAGACAGCCTCCTTTCCACCCACGGGGAGAGCCTCCCCCTTGCTTGGAGCAAGGATTCCCCTCTTCCCCCTTTCTGATATACAAGTATATTTGAACAGGCAGTGAAGACCTGGCATTTTCTCTTGCTGGCCCTGAGCTGCAGGATGACTGTCCTGTGAGTCATTCTGCCAGGCGGCCGTGTCTCAGCTTCTCTCTCCAGCCTCTGACCTGGCAGCCTCACCCCTCACGCCGCTCACCCAGCTGGAGCCTGCAGCTTGAGCAGCCTCACCGAGGCGGCAGCTCGGGTGCCAAGGGAGGGATTCCAGAGGCTGGGCCATTAACCTTGCCGAGAAGGAAACATGGCTTGGAGTTCCTTCCCCACCCCAGGTGAGTTTTATTAGGTCAGCATAGCTGGTAGGGGTGAAGAAAGAGGGGTGAATGCTTTAAAGAATCATCATAATTTTAATCAGTATTTCCCCTTCTATTTAAAATCGTAAACTTAGCTATTTAATCAGATGTCATGCTTAAGACACATTTACCTCCTTGGGAGAAAAATGAACAATGGCAGCTCAATTTGGCTTTGGATGGATTTTAAAAATAGTCTCGTCTGTGAAGGCCATTAGGTAAATGGCCTGAGAGAGCTTCAAAGAGGGCCTCCTGCAGGCTAGGCCAACTCTTCTGCCAGGAAAATAGTGGAGGGTCAAGGCAACGGGCTCTGAGAGGTCCCTGTGCACCGGGGCAGTCCAGGGTGTCGGGGTCCTCCTGGGCAGGGGGCACAACACGCCAGAAGTGGCTAGGGGACCAGGACATCTTTCCACAGTAGGTGCATCTGAGAACTTCCATTTTCGCACCTGCTGAAGCTGGCAGGAGTGTGCGCATGGGAGCCCAGGTGTGTGTATGTCTGTGTGTGTGTGTGACAGTGTGTGTGTCAGGGGGGGATAACATACTCCCACCCTCCCAATTCCTGAGAGGAGGAAACAGAAATGTTAGATGTGGTCAAATTACAGGAAGCCTGTCCCATTCATGGTGAGATAGAAGTCAGGGTTTTATTATCTTACAGTATGTGGAAAATGACAATGCTTTCATTAGCAGAAAAATAAAAACAAATAAAATAGCAGGTGGGTGCTCTCTTTCAAGGGAGTTGGACTGGAATTATCAATGCCCAAGAGAAAAAAGTGTGTGTCCGGATCCTAAGTCATGCTTTCCAGCCTGGGTGGCAGTGGAGAGCAGCCTCTTTGCCCTCACATGCCTCCCCTGCCACCGCTCCCCCCCTACAGATTTCAGAGGCCTGCCCTCTTGGGGAGCATCTGCTGTGTTCAAGGACTCTGAGTTCCCTGCTACTTCCGCAGCTTATCCCAAGTTGTTCTCAGAAAGCACCCCTACCTACTCTTCTTAGCCCAGGGGTTCATACCTGACATCTGAGGACCCCCCAGGGTATGTGGATAGAATTCAAACGGTCTTTACACTTGGATGGAGAAAAATTACATCCTTATTTTTGCAAACTCCAACTGAAATCTGCATTCCTTCCATTACAAATGTAGGCAATGGTTTGATGGTACCTGTGGCCATCAAACAGAAGCTAGCCATTTTCCTGTCACATTACCACGACTGTGGAGATCTCAAGATATTACGGTTACGTACCTTGACCTCCAAATTGTGGTGTACTTTGGATCTGCCAATTAATTACTTGATGTAATAATAGAGAACATACATTGCTATGTCAAAATCTGCTTTAATATTTGATGTGTTTCAATGTAATTGGTTTCCTAACAGTCCTGTGCATTTTAGTGTATGCACTTAAAAAAGTTCTGAGACAAGGTCCTATGTTCTGAGACACAGGTTTGCACAAGGCTGCTGAAGGGGTCTCAAGACCCGCTGCCCCGCCGGAAACTGGCCCTGTGCCTTCCTCCAGGGATAATCAGCCTCCTGGAAGGGCCTCCCTGGTGTGTCACCCCCACTTCATCCCGCTAGGTGGCAGCAGTGCGGGCATCCCCTGCTCTGGCAGCTCTCCGCCGCCCAGCTTGCTGTTTCAGGATCTCCCTGCCTCCCTCGGTGCGACCCGCTCCTGCAAACCCCTCAGGGAGCGGGCGCTGGAGGAGGTCCACCCGTGAGCGGCCAGACAGGCAAAGTGACGATTCAGGCTGGTGCTTCTTTGGACCATAAGAGTGACACTGTGAGGCCATCCAATCAATCCCCACAAAGTTCTTTGCGTGAAAGGAAACAGGAAACCCATTTTACAGCCATGGAAACTGAGGACCAGAGAGGGCACCTAGCACCTCCAGGGGCCCACAGTTAGCAACAGCGGTGGCTGCTTTGCCCAGGTCAAGTTGTGGGTTGTTACCCCACTGCCCTGCCTGCCTCTTGCTCCTCTCTGGGATCTTCCTGAGCAGGCAGGTGGCCTGGCCTCCTCCCAGAGCAGAGTCCAGTCCTATGGCTCTCAAAGACCCGGAGCCCCAGGGATGGGGGGCCTTCCAGGGACCCCAGTCCCTCGGGCCTGGCTCCGCCCATGCACCAGTTGCTCCCTCCCAATTGACTTCCAGGAAATGGGGGGTGGAGGGCGAAGGGTCTCCGAGCTGCTCCCACCCTGCTGGGGCGATCCCAGAGCTTAGCTGGGAAGGAACCGGCATGGATCCAGACCCCGTGTTCGCCTCTCCCTTCCCCTCCCTACACCCCCGCATCCACTTTTGCCACTAAAGGGCTGCACTAGGCCTCCTGACGTCTGAGGCCCCATGGAGCAGGGCTTTGCTGGTGTTTTCTCCAGAAGACCCCAGGACTGGCCTTGGGTCGAGAGATTTACTGTCACTTGTCTCAGTGAAACCGGTCTCTCACCAGCTGCCTTTCCCCCTCCAGTCGCTGTCTGGCAAACAGAGCCTCAGTGGGCAGGCACAGGGGAAGTCCTGCGTGGGGAAGGGGCGCGCTGAATACGGTGCCAGAGGCTGGCCGGCCGGGTCCCGGGCTCCGGGCCGCTGGGAGGGAGGGCCTGGCCCTGCAGCAGCCGCAGCCCGGCCCCGCTGGCCCGTCGGCATTCAGGATCGGGCCGGGCTGGGCGGGAGGTGCTGAGCTCTGACCAGGAACTCGGAGGCCTCCTCGCCAGGGTGGGAGGCGGGGGTCCGGCCGCGGGAAGGGAGGGATCCGTGACGGCGGCTGCTCGCCTGCGGCTCCGCGGGAGGAAACTTTCCGCGCAGCCCCGGCCCCACGCTCCCCGGGCGCTCCCTCGGGAACGCCCCCTGCCCAAATTCAGTCTCCGGGTCCACTGGGTGCACCCGTAACCGGGTCGGAACCTCAAACTGCTCCGCAAGCCAGCCGGTTACCGTGGCAACACCATCCGGCGGCGCCCGGCGGTCCAATCGGAGCCCGCGGCCTCTCTCGAGCCTCTCCCAAGGTGGGGACCGGTACGAGGCCGGGATGGGGAGGGGCGGCCCGGGGCCCCTCCTGCCGGGGCCCCGGGGCCGGGCGCCGAGCCGCGCTGCGAGGCGGCCCCGGGCGAGGCGCGGCGGCGAGCGGCAGCCGGGCCGGGCCGGAGGGTTCGGGCTCCAGTTCGAGGGGCGGGGAAGGCGGTGACGTGAGCGGGGCCGGGCGGGCGGAGTTGGGACCCGCTCGGGGAGGCGGGGGCGAGCGCGCCGAGAGGCAGACGCGCGTAGGGAGGCGGCCGAGCGGCGCTGGCGGTTCTGCGGCGGGCGCGGTGGGCGCGGGCGGCGGGCCCCGGGATCCCGGCGCTCCTCCTAGGCGCGGCGCCGCCCCCGCGCGTCCCCACGGCCCCCTCGCCCCGCGCGCCTCCCGCGCCCGCGCCCTGCCAGCCCCCGGCGCCGCGGCCGTCTGCAGAGCGAGCGCTCAGACGGAGCCCCCGGCCAACTTGAGCGGCGCCGGCGGGCGCCGCAGACCCCGCCGCAGCCCCTTGACCCCGTGGCGCACGAAGGAGACCTGCGTGCGCCCGCGTCGCCGCCGCCCGCACCCCCGGACCGCGCCGCCCCTCGGCGCGGGGCTCGGACTGGAGGCGAGAGCCGCGCCGTGAGACACGCACCGAGCGCGGCGGCGGCGGCGTCCGGCCTTCCTGCTCGCCGCCCGGGAGGGCCGAGCCGCGGCCCCTCCGACCCTCGCCGCGCGGCCGCCGCGCCGGAGCGCGCCCCTTCCGGGCTGGCCGCGGGCGGCCCCGCCTCGCCGCTGCCTTCGCTGGGTCGCCCCGGGAGGGGGCCGCGAGCCCCGCGCCCCGGCGCGGGGATGTGCGCCCCCGCGGGCCGCCCCGCCTGAGCCATGCTCCCCAGCGGCGGCGCCGCGCCGGCCGGCATGGAGCCCCGCGCGGCCGCGCTCTGACTCGCTCTGCGCCCCGCGGCCGGCGGCGGACCGAGAGCCCGAGACCGGCGCCGCGGGACGGAAGCGAGCGGGCGCGGGCGCCGCGCAGATGGCCGGGGCGAGCAAGGTCTGAGGCTCCGCTCCCCGAAACGTGACCATGTGGATTCAACAGCTTTTAGGACTCAGGTGAGCGGCCCGGCCGGCGGCGGGGCGCGCGTGGGTGCGCGGTACGTGGGCGCCGGGCTGGGCGAAGCTGCGCTTTCCTCAGTGTTGCAAAGAAAGGGACCCTCCCGCTGCTTCGCGCGAGCGGCCAACGGCTGCCCAGAGAGGGTCGGGCGCCAGTCCGAGCTCGGAGCCCCGCGGCCCCGCAGGGAGCGGCCGGCTCCCCCGGCTCCCCGCGCCCGGGTCCGGGCAGGGGCGCCCCAGCTCCCTAGCAGCGGGGCGGCCGGGCGCGTCCGCGGCTCGCGGCGCCAGCAGCGCAGTGTCCTGGCCCGCCGCCCCGGCGCGCCTCCTCCCTGGGGCCGGCAGGCTGTGGACCCGGGGCGGGGGCCGGGGCTGCCGGGGAAAGCCAGACCCCGGCGCCCGGCCGCCGGCTCCCGGAGAGAGCTTGGCAGGCGCAGTTGGAGGGAACCAGAACCCAACAGCCACGCCGCTGGCCCTTCCCTTCTTCGGGGCCCCGAGGCTGAGCGGGGGCCTCCCGGGCTCCCAGCTGTCAATCCAGCTGTTTGCCGGTGACCTCCGGGCTCGGCGGGCGCGCACAGCTGGCGGGCAGCAGGGGCTGGGGCTCTGGGGGATCCCGGACGCCCCCTCCCCACCGACGCAAACACCCGCGGGAGCGCCCCGGGGCTTGCCTGTGTCCGGGACTCCAGGGCCAGCTGGAACCGGGGTCCGAGCCCGGAGCCCGCAGTGGGGGCGCCCAGGAAGACCCTTTTCGGCAAACTTTGCCGGCCTGCCGCGGCGCTCGGGCTTTCAACCCCTGCCTCGGGCGGCCTGGGTCCCAGCTGTGCGCAGTTGTCCCCTTAGTGGGGCGGCTGTCTCGGAGCGCCACCCTGCTGCCAGGGGGCTCCGCGGAGCTGGCGCGTTTGGGTCCCGGGTTGCAAGCAAGAGCAGGCAGGACACAGGCGGAGGCGGAGGAAGCCAGCGTGCGGTTCTCGAGTTTGTCCACTGGGATGCACTGCGCTCCCACGTTGGAGAGGAAGGGGGCCAGGAGTCGCCGGAGCCTGCCGCCTGAGCCGCCCCCACCGCCGCCCCAGCAGAGCTGGGGGCAGTGGGCCAAAGGGAGACCTAAGTGCGCGCGTCCTGATTTTGAGAAATCGGAGGACGTAGAAGGCCAAGCGTGTTCTAGCTCCCCTTGATTTACAAGACGATTGATTCCTCGGCGCGGGGGTGAAGACTAAAAACATCTAGTGAAAATCGTCAAATGTTATTATCGGCCTATTTTCTGGAAAGCGGATTCGGTTCTCCTGGTGGCCCGGTCCTGTTTGCCTGCGTGGGCTTGAAAAGGTTAAACATGTTGGGATCCTGCTGGGTATTGGCCGGGCCTGAATCGATCCTGTGTGCTTGGACTAGATACGGTTTAGGCTTGGCTGTTCCAGGACACAGATGACACCGGGCGAGGGCAGCTTTGTCTGGGTGACCCCATCCAGATGCCCTGCTGCCTGCCTCCCGGGGCTCAGCCAGACTTCCAGGGCCTTGGGAAAGATTAAAGGCATCCAGCCCTGGCCTGGGCTCACCTCAAGCAACCAGAGGAATCCCGGGCTGCTGTCAGTCTGGTGCTTGATTATTGACTGTCTGCCGGCAAGTTATTTGAACCGACATCTTTTTTTTCATTAGTAAGTTGTTAGAGTGAAAGATTAGTACATTTTGATAAGAGAAGAGGAGAGTAAATATCAAGGCAGGAAACCTCTCTGTTGGTTCAAAATTCACTACGGCGGTTCCTCTGAAGCACGCCCAAGCGAGATATATACTTGGAATTTTGCTTTAGGAAATAGTTCTGTTGGTGATTTTGAAGTTTGACCTTTTGTTTTTCCCCTTCGGTGTTAGCACAAGAGATTTCCTGTATGCGTGCCTCTAAGACGAGCTGTCACCTTTTTGGGAGGCTGACAGGAGAGAGCTGTGTCATGTCTGTTAGAGACGTCCCCTGGCCGGGAGCAGGGGCCATGCCGGGGGAAGTCGGGGGGGCTTTTACATCACGCCAGGCGAGGAGGTGGCTGAAAGCCAGGAGCACCTGCTGGAGGCCTGGCGTGAGCCCTCCCCTTGAACACAGCTGGTCACCTTTGCTTACAAGCCACCTCCTGGCGCCCCAGGCGAGCCCTGGACATCCTGCTGCCAGGCTTCAGGCAGACAGTGACCCTGCAGCCCAGGTGACAGAAGGCGGCGCTGATGTGACCTGAGTGAGGGGCGCAGGGCTCTGGCTTCAAAGAGAGTCTGCACTTGGTTTTTGCGTCTGTGTTTGAATGGAGCTGCGTGTGGAGCGTCTTCTTAGCAGGGGGAACAGATAGAGTCTCGTGGAGCTGTTCTCAGGCTTTTTGGTTGGTAGTTGTATACGAGCTCCAGAGATCCCTTCCATCAGCGTGAATAGAGGGATCTCTTGGAGGTGGCCCAGTGGCTTGACAGGCTGCACTGGGGCTCACGCATAAGTGAGCTTGGGGAGCAGCCTGGAAGGGGGTGCTTACTCAGCACGCACCAGGGGTTTGGAGTTTGGGGGGAGGCTGGTGAGTGGCGCCAGAGGCTGTAGCTCTGTGGGCACATGCAGGGCATTTGCTAGAAGTCCTCCCAGTGCAGTGTCTGGTTGCACCACAGCTTCTCCCCAGGCATGTCCTGTGGGGTTGCTCTGTTTCTTTCTCCACCAGCGGTTCAGGAGGCTCTGGGCTGTGCATGTGTGGTGGGGGTGGGATGTGCAGAAAGGTAGCTTGGCTCTCTTCTTTTGTGGGGCACTTCATGGTTCCCCAAGCCCTTGCTGTGAGCTCTGTACCACATTTGGCCCCTACTGCATGAACCCAATGGGTTGGCTGTCACCTCCCGTCTGTAAAGTCCTCCGGCAGCTGGGGCCGTGCAGAAAGGCTGCAGGGAATGGAATTGGGTGCTCTGTCCTCTGTCCACAGACAGCATTGCCCTCCTGTCCAATCCTGGCTGGTGCCCATTTCCAGCTGCTGCTACCAAATTGATTGCAACCGGAATCCATCGAGTGTCAGCAGCTGTAATGCTCGTAAGGGACAGTAATGCTGAAATAACTAACCATTTTAGGAGACAGCTCAAATCTTTCCACCACCTGCTGTGCCCCCTTCGCCTCACCTGCACCCCCCTCCAGGGGATCACTGTCCCAGCAAAGGAGAGGCGGCAGGCTCCTCCCAGTCTGTGCCTTCTGTTGATTTATTTTGATCACCAGCTTCCTTTCCTTCTGCGCACCAAAGAGGGTGGTAAATAGTGAGCCCTGCAACTCCTCTCACCAGCTGAGACAGCTGCATGCTTCCCAGAGGAGGCTGTCTCTGGGTCGCTGGAGAGGGAATAGCTTGTTCCCCACTGCATCCTGCATCCTCCTAGCTGGGGTTACTTGGTTAGTGGTGGGAAAAGTGGCTCCCCGTGCTGGCCTCATCATTACTGACCTGGGCATGGTCAAGATGTTTAGCAGAAGTGGGCCGGCTCTCTGTGGGGAAACCACAGGGTGCCCAGAGCATGCAGACAAAAGCCATACCGTAGATCATGATAAAGTGGGTAAACATCAAACCGTGACCCACCAACCATTGCTGAGCCTCCCAGAGCCCAGGGGCTCCTGTCTGGGGTTACGTAAGAGTCATCTGCTTTCCACATGCCTAGTTGCCAAGTTTTCTTCAAAGGGCTACAAGTCAGTAGAGACCAAATTGATGTAAAGATTAGCTTGGAAAGCCAAATATATCCTTGATCTAGATTTTCATGTTTGAAGTCTGGCTCGAGAGGGTTTCTTCTGCCCAATGCCCATCAGACACGAAGGGGAGGCAGGAGCCCGGCATCCTGGAGTTGGAGCAGAGAAACTGTGCAGCTGACTGACTCTTTCTCTAAGACCCCCTTCCAGGAATTCAGAGGAGTCGGCGAGTCACGAGGTGCCGAGTGGGGAATGGCAGTTACGTAACTCCGATTAATTCCCAGTTAGGAGGAAGTCGGAGACTGCAGTGTGCCTGTGTCAGAGTTCCGGGGCCCTGGCTCCCTGCCCCAGCCATCCATGTCTGGCCACCTGCTCCTGCCCTCTCAGGGGGCAGTGCTCCGTACCCCGGCAATAGACCAAGAGTAGTGGAATACCTCTTCAAGGCCAGGTCCCTGAAGCTCCGCCCGGAAGAGGGTGTGGGACCCACTCCCCTGCTGCTGGGTGGGGGAGTGGGGCCGCTGCTTAATTGCTGCTGCCAGCCTCTGGACAGGTTGAGTTCATTGGGGCACCCAGCGGGTGCAGGGAAGGGGCTTAGTGAGCTGGGCTGGGCTCCTCTTCTCTCTTTGGAAAGGGCCAGGAGCCCACTGTTTGTCTGGGGGGGTCTTCATTGTTTGTAGCTATCTTTAATGTGACCAGAAAAGAACCAGATCGGCAGGGGTTCAGGGCAGCATGGCGGGAGTCACTTGGCAAAGGGCAAGGTCCTCCACTGGACGAGGTGGCCCAGGGGAGAGGGCATCAGGCTCGGTGTTTGCCTTCCTATCCCCAGTGCACCCTCTGCAAAAGGGTGTCCCTTTATTTCTTCATCTCCTTCTACCCATGGAAAGGTTGGTGGCAGCCATGCTGGGTCCATCTGTGGCTCAGCCATCCCAGCTGGCCCTTCACTGTGCTTGCTCTGTCCACTCACTGGGACTTCTGCCATTTGGTGCACTTTCTCCCGGGTGGTCGGCCAAGGAGGGCTGGCATGGCAAGGCCTGCTGCCTCTCTTGTTCTGCCGCCATTCCCAGCCCTGTGTGGGCACTTGCCTGGGCCCTGTGGCTGCTAAGGCTTTGCCACCTCCCTCCCTGGTGAGTCAGCGCTCAGGCCCGCGTGTGACCTCAGGGGCTTCTGGAAAGGCAGCCAGGACCTTGTAGCTGGCAGTGGAGACTAAGGGGGTGTGTCCTTCCGGAAACTCAGCAGCCCGTGGGCAGACTCCCGGTTTTGCACTGGAGAGGAGCCTCTGCTCTGGGTCGTGGCCTCATGAGGGTGGGGCCTGTGCTTGTTCTCCATCACCCAGGAAGAGTGTCTG